GGCCCCCCCCCTCCGCCCCCCCCCCCCTCCCCGCCCCGCCAGCCGCTGTCCAATCTCGCCCGGTCCGCCTTTCTTTCTCCGGTTCCCGGTCTCTTTTTTTTTTTTTTTTCCTTTCCTCCCTTCCAAGATGGCCGAAGTGGATTCCCCCTCTTAACGATTTGGCGTCTCCCTCGACCACCTCTTCTTTGTGCAGCAGCCCCCTGCTAGGACCCTGCTGGCGAGGTATCGAGGGGGAGGGTCCGGGCGGCCACGAGGGCTTTGGGGACACACGCTAGGGTGGGTCTCACCCCCCCAACCCAGTGTCTTCACCAGCCGGAACCGACTGTGGCTCTGGCCGATCGCCCCCTTCGAGTCGGGCAAGGGTCGCCCCTCGAGTGAGCGGTGAGCGTGGGGGAGAGAGGCGCGAGGACCCGAGGCCCGGAGCAAGGGGACTTGGCTTTCTGGCGGCTGCGAGGCCGGGGGAGGGCGCCCTAGCCGCTGGGGTCCGGATCTCGGGCACCTCCCCCAGAGGTCCCTTTCCCCAGTCCCGGTGCGAGGCGCCCCGCCCCCTCCCTGAACCACCTCGGCAGAGCTTTCCCTCCGTCCCTCCCGGGGCCCCACCAAAGTTTGGCTCTAGGGAAGGAGGGAGTGGCTACTCGGTCACTGGGGTGCCTGATCCTTTGACCTGGGCTCCGGGGGAAGCACGGGTGGAGGGGGTAGAAGGGGAGAGAAGAGAGATTTAGCATGCTATTCCCTTTCACCAGTAGTGGCCAAAAGGTCTGACGAGCTGGCCCTTCTCCCATGGTGGTGGTGGGGGGTGGCGAATGGAAGCGGCTACTCTTTCTTCCCTGAGCCCTGGCGCAGCTAGCTCTGAATGCTGGGGGACTCTGGGCCTGTAGACGCCCCGCGCCCTTCCTGTCCCCCAGGGGCGTCTAGACAAGCCCCTTCTCTCCCTCCCCCACCCCCCGGATCTACCCAAAATTGCTCTGCTTGGCTTGAGGGAGGAGGAGGGTGTGCATGTGTGAATTTAAATGTTTAAGTATATACAGGTGTTACCTCCAGTTTTCCCTGCGTCTTTTGTTTCATAGCCCCCAGCCTTGCTCGCGCCATTCCCCCATGCTGCCTCAGTCTCTCTTGGGCTCCCTGTCCCTGAGGGAGGGGTTTCTCTTAGCCAGCTCTCACAGTCCTGGGCCTCCCGCTCTGTACTTCTTGCAGTTGTACTGTTCCTGAAACTCATGACACCCCCCCCCCACACACACACACACATCCCTAACCCTGCGCCAAGGTGTTATTACTGTAACCGGAGGAGCATAAAGCCAGCTCTGTTGCAGCGTTTTAGTGGAGAGGCTTTCCCAGGGGTTCCCCTGGTTTAAGGTTGGGGCTTGTGCGCTTAGAACTGTGTTTGGAATGAGGCAGGAAACAGCCTACACGATACAGTCCGGCTGTCGCCTGAGTCTGTTCAAGTTGAAGTATTGGGATGTGCGCAGGGAGGAGGGAAAATGACTCCTTGAGATCTTGGTTGATGGAGCTGTTGCCATGGGAACGGAGAGAGCCTGAAGTGGAAGAGGTTACATATTGTACAGGTCAGATGTCAACTGTAGCCCTCCAACCTCTGGCCCCAGAGTGGAGTTGGGGGCTGAACCGCCTTTGTTGCTGGAAGACTTGAATTATAATTTACCCTGAGAAGACCAAGGGTTCATAGAAGGTTAATGTTGGTGGCTCCGGTTTCAGGCTGGATGTGATGCGGAGGGTGGGGATGGTTTCTACATCTGTGGAGTGGGAGCCAGTCTAGCTTTGTGTGTGGTGCTGTGTGTCTGGCCAAGAGTCTGTGTGCCTCCTGTGTGACCACCCTTGTCTAGCTGTGGATGCTGTAAATGTGAGAGACAAGGGGGTGTGTCTAGCTCTGGATATGTGTGTTCTTGCAGTGTTGCCCTGTGTGTAGTCTTTGTTTTTTTATTAATTTCTTTCCTTTTTAAATTTTTGTCTTTTGGGAGCTGAGTGGTGGGTAGAGGAGCTTCCAGCCTTTTTCCAGTGTCAAAGGTTAGGAAAAGAGAGATTTCACCATGTCCTAGTGCAGACTACTGTGGCCCATGTGTAAACACGTGAGGTGCGCATAGTTGGGTCTCTGAAGCTGGAAGGGAGCCAATGCTACAAATCATGTCTATACACTGTGCTCTGGCTCGCTCGTTCCATGGTGCCTCAGTTTCCCCCATCTATACTGTGGAAATGGTGTAGGCATTAGCTTTTGCCTCCCTTTCAGCAGGCCCACTGTAAGGGCTTCCTGCCCTCCCCCCTTCTACCCTCTGGCTCAGCTCTTCAGCTGAGTAAGGAGCACCTACTGGGTGCCAGCATTTGAAGAGCATTAGAACAGGAGGTAGGCAGAATTTGTCTGAGCATTGCCCCCGTCTCGCTGCGTGACCTTGGACAAGTCACATCTAAGTTTTTCATCTGTCAAATGAAAAGAGTGCAGATGATGCTTTCAAAGACCACATCCACCCCTGCTAGTCAAGTTAGGGTGTGACCTTGAATGACCTCGCATGGCCTGGGGCTTGATTTGATTTGGTGCACAAGTAAGGTAGAGAGGGCTGTGGCTGGTGTCCCTGGGAGCATCAGGACCCTCTCTCTATGTTGTCAGAGGCCAACACCTACAGGAGAGAAGGAAGTCTGGCTCACTAGAGAGATGTGAGGTGTCTGTGGACAGGGGTCTGGGAGCATGGGGAGAGGCAGATGAGCTTCAATGGCAAGGGACTGGGTGCTGACCAAGCCCCTCTCCTGTCCTGTCTGGGGCCCCTGGGAGCCAGGAGCTAGGGACAGAGAGAGCAGAGAACAAGAAAGGCTTCAGGTAAAAACTGTGTGTGCGTGGGGGGGGGGGTGTTGGAGGGATGTAGTTAGCCTCTTCCTTAGCTGCACTGAGACCAGTCCAAATGGCCTTCCCCCCTTTTCTGCTTCTTGGGACCTGTGTCTTTCACTTTTTCTTCTACGGGCCCTTTGTCTATCCTGACTGTCCCTTCCATAGTGGTGCACTGAGTCCTTTTCCCTCTTCCCCCAGCACCACAGCCCTCTGCAGAGGAGGAAGGAACACAGGTCCTGATCCTGGGCAGGGAAATGGGGAGGGGATGCGCTGGGGATGCCAGCTCCTGTTTACAGATACTCTTGGCACCTGCTGACAGGGCCCTGCAGGTAACCATGGCAATCAGGTGAGGAGCCAATCGGTGCCTCTCCCCACCCCCAGCACCAGCGGTGGCTTCCTGAGGCCCCTAGGGATGGGGAACTGGGAGGCTCTCTGCTCCCAGGGGAGACAAGGAGCTTTTCAGTCCATAGCATGCCCTTCCCTTACTACCTGAGCCCAGGAAGGGACCTGGGGGCTGCTTTTGTGTGAAACCTCAAAAGTGATAGGCTGAGTGGGGCTCCTTTGGCTTCTTAGGAACCGGTATCTATTTGCAAACTAAGTGAGGTGTGACTGAGGGGGCTGAGGCAGTGTGAGGAGCCCCGGTGTGTGTGTGTGTGTTGCACGTGTGTAGCTAAGAGCCCCAGTGTGTGTGTGTGTTGCACGTGTGTAGCTAAAAGGGTAACGGACAACTTATCCTAGCAGCCTAGATTCCCTGGCTGAATCCTACTTGGATACAGTTTACTTCTGTTTCTGTGTGTGTCTCTGGACACAGACACACACAAGGCAAGTAGTCACATGAAGTACCTTTGGAAGCCCAGACAGCATGTACACACGGTGACTATTACCCGCGCTCAAAGAGACAGCCACTTGGAGTTTCTACTACCCTCTGGATGGTTGTAATAATATTTGGGCTTCTTGCCAGGGACTATGTTACCATGGAAACAACTAAACAGTAGAGTAGCCAGCAGCCTCTTTGAAATTGTAAAGGGGGACCCATGCAGGGAGGACCAGCTAGGGCCACCTATAGGGGCAGAATCTTTGCGGGCCAGGGGTGCCTCTGGCTGGCTTGTTCCCCTCTTTCTTTTCTGTCCCAAGTGTGGCCTTTGTGTCTCTCCATCTATCCCAGTCTCTGGCCAGGTGCCCTGGGGCCTTATTGGCTGGTTGGGTCCTGGCCAGGCTCATCCTGGGGTCTCTATAGAAACTGCTGATCCTGGCTGTGAATTTCTTGTCCAGTGTGGTGGCTTTAGAAATCTTTCTGGAAAAGAGAAAAGGTTGTATGTTATAAAGGAGCAGTTGGGGCTTGGCCAGCCTCTCAAGCCCAGCTCCTGGGCTTTTGCTGTGGGAGAGAAGGAGAGAGACAGTCTCCTTCAGCCCAGAGTCAGAGCCAGCTTTGAAATGACTTTGGCCTGCTAGGGCCTGGCCAAGTGCATTGGGGAGCTGGGGACAGAGAATGCTGTCTGCCTAGTTTTGGCAGGTGTCTAGGAGAGCCTGTGGTTTGTTGGTGGATAGCCTGTGAACAGGTGGCAGAAGTCACCAGGTTGGAACATGATGGGATCCCAGTAGCAATGAAGCAATTCTGTGTTCATAAAAGTGGGCTTCTGGACCATGTGCACAGTAGAGAGCACTCAGTGTGGTATTGGGGGTGGGGCACCATGGGGTGGCTCTCACCACGGGGCAGCAAAGGTCTTTTGGGCAGGCTCTTGGACTACACATAGAGTACAGTGCCAGGCTGGGCCTGGAGTTCCTTCATAACTTACGACATAGTGAAAACCAGCGTCAGGGTTCCTGGTCGGAAGGCCAAAGGGTCAGCACATGGTAGATTGCAAGGGGCTATCTGTATCCAGGGACATCAGAGGAGTGAGTGTTCTGAGGCCTAAGTGGGACACAGCAAAAAGGACAAGTGATGGGCCTGGGTCCTAGTATCTCTCAAGAAGGCCTCTCTGTGATGAATCTCTCTCTTCAATGGAGCGGTGATAATTTATTCTTCACTTTGGTCTGTGAATTGGGTTGTCTGGATGATTTCTCATACCTGTTAGTACTCAGTAAATATTTGACCACTTGAATGGATATGGTTGGAATCAGGAATATTGTTAAAATTTTTTTGTTACATTGTGTGTGTGTGTGTGTGTGTGTGTGTGTGTGTGTGTGTACAAGTAGTCAAAAGACAACTTGCAGCCATTGTTTTTTTCTTTCCTTCCACCATGTGGGTCATTAGGCTTGGCTGCAAGCACCTTTACCTGTGAGCTCTCTCATAGGCCCATGGGTCCCAGGAAGATCTTTTTAGGGGGTGAGGGGGAAATTCTGAGACAGGGGTTCTCTGTGTAGCTTTTGGAGCCTGTCCTGAAACTCACTCTGTGTACCAGGCTGGCCTGGAACTCAGAGATCTGCTGCTTCTGCCTCCCCCATCTCCCAGGAAGATTTTAGTAAAGCACTGTTTCCTTCCATTTTCCTGCCCTCCCACATCCATCTTCAAGAGTTGGTTAGTGTTTCTTATGGTCTGACTTCAGTTTTTCCTGCTTCTGAGATGGTACACAACCTTGTTTGTCAAAGCTGCAGAAGCCTCCTGAGCCCCCAACACCCAGTGAACACTCAGAGGGAGGCCCAGAAACAGCCAGCCTCAAATATGCGCCTGGTTCCACATCTAAGACAGAAGAAAAAAGGGTGGTGTGCTCACGAAAGCTATTGACAGAGGCAGTGGGGAAATGGCTGAGGGTGGCTGGGTTTCTGATCCCATTTCTATTTCCCAGGGTGACGCTTCCCAAGTCTCCTCAGTCCTGACCCCTGGCATCATGCATCGGACCACACGGATTAAAATCACGGAGCTGAACCCTCACCTCATGTGTGCCCTCTGTGGGGGTTATTTCATTGATGCCACCACCATTGTGGAGTGCTTGCATTCCTGTGAGTTTAGTACAGGGTGCTTGGGGACACTGGTTGGGGAAACTGGAACAGCCTTTGCTGTCCTAGAGAGCAGACCCTGGGTCACTAGGAAACTGCCAAGAAGGAACAAAGTGGGGGTAGTCCTGGGCCCAGAAGTTCATTCCAGGATAGCATCAGAAACCTCTGCTTTCTTTGGTATCTCTGGCTTAAGTTTGACCCCTGAAGATTTGGGGTCACTCATTTGCCCTGTCAGATTGGTTACAAGAGATCCAGGACTGATGGGGTATCTTACCAGGCTGGCTCAGAGGAGCCTGGGACTTGGTGCACTTTGTATGTTAGGCAGAACACCATCCTGTCTCACACAGGGAGAGACACTGGGCCTAAGGGTAGACAAGGTGCAAGAGGCCGGATGTGTGAATGTGCACTGCCATATTGGGTCTTTGAGCTAATCCTGTGCTCCTGGGTCTTGTGGGAAAGGAAGGGCGAATATAAGCACAGGCCTGGGCAAGAAAGGGTTCTCACTGTCATCTCTGTCCACACCCCAAGTCTGCAAAACCTGCATCGTGCGCTACTTGGAGACCAACAAATACTGCCCCATGTGTGACGTCCAGGTCCATAAAACCCGACCACTACTGAGCATCAGGTGGGCTTGTGTCCCCTTACCCTGCCTCCCAGGGGCTTCCAGCTTGAAATGCCAGACCGAAAACCAGCATGTCTGGGTGCTGGGCTTAAAGGGGGTACAATGTTGATCCCTGGCGGGAGAGGTAAAGGTACCATGGCTGCTCACATCCTGTACATTCTTTCCCAGGTCAGACAAAACCCTTCAGGACATTGTCTACAAGTTGGTGCCTGGGCTTTTTAAAGGTATCCCGAGCCCCTGTGTTGTCCTGCTCACCTCCCCCATTTCCCAGCTGTTGCCTGCTCATGCCTGTCGCCTTCCTCTAGATGAGATGAAACGGCGGCGGGACTTCTATGCAGCATACCCCCTGACGGAGGGTGAGTGTGTTCATTTTCAAGCATGCTCTGGTTCCCAAAGTAACCTGAGTGCCTAGGGCTGCCCCACCTGTGAGGGTTGAATGTGCCAGCTTTGGTCCTCCTGTCTCTCCACCAGATCTCCTTGCTAGACAGTGTTGTCCAGAGGGGTGGGGCTCAGCCTCTGAGCCATCTACTCCCACCCCCTAGGTCCTCAGTCCCTTGCTCTATCTTTGACCAATCCCTCTGAGCTGTCTCCCTCTACAGTTCCCAACGGCTCCAACGAGGACCGAGGCGAGGTCCTAGAGCAAGAGAAGGGAGCCCTGGGCGATGATGAGATTGTCAGTCTTTCCATTGAGTTCTACGAAGGAGTCAGGCAAGTTCACCCTAAGCCCCCCAAGACCCCGTCAGATATGTGTGTTTGGTCCAGAAACTCCGAAATCTTTCACTTCTTTCCCCCAGGGACCGAGAGGAGAAGAAGAGCCTCATGGAGAATGGGGATGGGGACAAGGAGAAGGTGAGTGTTGGGGGCCTTCCCAGGAGTGAGCTGTAACCTGAGAGAGACTGCCACAGGATAGACCTTCTCACTGGGACCTCCTCCCCAACAGACAGGGGTGCGCTTCCTGCGATGCCCAGCAGCCATGACTGTCATGCACCTCGCAAAGTTCCTCCGCAACAAAATGGATGTACCCAGCAAGTACAAGGTGAATAAATGCCTGCGCCACGCAGACATCAAGGGTCCATCAGTGTGTTTGGTTGGGGGGCATCCAAGCCATCACATAACTGGACCTGCTGGAACAGGTAGGCTAGCTCAACTGTTTAGGATAAGACACTCTAATTGTTGTAGTTGGTGTGCAAAAGGCCTGAGACCAGGGAGGTGTGTGTACAAAAAATGTCAGGCCTCCAAGAAGGCCAGGGAGCCTGGTAGATGTAGACTGGTAAACCCTGTTGAACACAGCAACACAGGATTCCTTGTGGGTGTCTGGTTCTGTTGACCCTGCTTCTTTGACAGGCTCCTAGCTGCTGCTCGTGCAAAGGTGTCACTTAGCCTATACTTGGGGTAGGGAGACAGGCCTTGCTGCTTTCACCAGTTAGGTCAGATGCAAGAATGGGGGTATCAAAACTGCTTCTGAGGTTCCTTTGAGGCACAGGCAAGGGCCTGGGGCAAGGGGTTCCCTTGGCCTTGCTGGCTCTCTAGGGGACCTAGAAAGAAGCTTCCCCCTCCTCCTCATCCGCAGATTGGGGAATTTTGGACAATTCTGGAAGGGAAGTCACATCTACAGTAAGGAGGGGCCTCCTGCAGACTGCGTTTAATTTCGCTCACATCCAACCCCCAAGACTTCCGGCCACGGCAGCCAGGGGCGCAACTGCCAAGTCTCATGGTGTCATTCCTTCCCTCCAGGTGGAGATCCTCTATGAAGATGAGCCCCTGAAGGAATATTACACCCTCATGGACATTGCCTACATCTACCCCTGGCGGCGGGTGAGCCTGTGAAGCAGGTGGTAGAAGGTGGGGGCAGTCCCAGGGAGGAGGTCCTACCAGCATTAGTCTGTGGCCACAGTGACATGATACACCCTCTTACGTCAGGCAGTTCATCCCTTGTCTCTGGAACCCCGCCTGGCCCTAGTGGTTCATCATACCAGGTCAGCTCTAGGCCATTTCTTTTTCTGAGATAGGGTCTCCTTGGCTGACCTCAGACTTGGTATGAGGGCCAGTCTGGCCTTGAATTCACAGCAGTCCTCCTGCCTCAGCCCCCTGGGTGCTGAGATTACTGGCATCCCTACTACATGTCTCTTGCTGATGTCCTCCCCTGGCTGTTACCAGGCAGGTTTGGGGTCACGGCACCACTGTGGTGTATGATGCCTTCTGTGTCCTATGGTTTTACACCCCCAAGTCCGTCTCTTACACTCATTCTTCACTGGGTCTGTGTCTCTGTATTTTCTGTCTGGCTTCATATGACTCTGCATTCTGCAGGCCCTCTCCTCGTCAAGGCTCGGACCTTCCCTTTGCATCTGGCTGGGTGCAGGGATGGGTGGTCCCTAGTTGGTCTTTCTGCTGACACTTTGTTTTCTTATTGCTGGCCTCTTCCCTTTCACCACAGAATGGGCCTCTCCCCCTCAAGTACCGTGTCCAGCCAGCCTGCAAGCGGCTCACCCTGCCCACAGTGCCCACTCCCTCAGAGGGCACCAACACCAGCGGGGCATCAGAGTGTGAGTCAGTCAGCGACAAGGCTCCCAGTCCTGCCACCCTGCCAGCCACATCCTCCTCCTTGCCCAGCCCCGCGACCCCCTCCCATGGCTCTCCCATCTCCCACGGCCCCCCAGCCATCCACCCCACCTCCCCAACTCCACCTTCGACTGCCAGTGGGGCCAACTCCGCTACCAACGGGGGCACTTCGAACTGCCTGCAAACGCCATCCTCCACCAGCAGGGGGCGCAAGATGACTGTTAACGGAGCTCCTTGCCCCCCTTAACTGGAGGAAAGGGACCCTCTCCCTCAGCAGCCACCTCTCCCCGCCCTTCTACTTTTTCTGGGCCCCTTTTTCCACCTTTGACTCTCCCTGGTTCCTCCCATCTTCACAGTGGGAGGTGGGTTTTATAAATAAATATCTATCTATATATAAATATATATATGTACATAGGAAAAACCAAATATACATACTTATTTTCTATGGACCAACCAGATTAATTTAAATGCCACAGGAAAAAAACTGTATGTGTGTGTATGTGTTTGTATGGGTGGGAGTGTTTGTGTCTAGGGGGTCTTCTGTAGTTTGCTCTGCTCTTCTGGGATTA